TTTTTTTTTTTTTTGGTTAATGATTTACTACTAAAAACCAAAAACAAAAAAAGTAGATTTACTACTAGCATTCAGTTGCAAGTGCACAGTCTAAACGATTATAGACTAAAACCTTGTTTAATCCGTTGGTAAATGAAATTCTACACCTAACAATTTTGGTAATTTAACGGTCTTGCGAGAATTGATGTATGAAGTTGACCTGTGCAGATTATTTAGTGGTTTAATGTTTAATTTGTGGATTTTATAGAAATGTTTGGAAATTGAAGATTCACTGATGGAACAAAATCGGGAACTTGAGAGTAAAATTGAATCTTTGGAGTCGATAATGAGAATGTTGGAGCTAAAAGCAAAGAATTCATCTGATCATGGTTCGTGAAAGTTTAAGACTTTGTCAAAATGTTTTCATACATTTCTCTTGTTTACGCTTAATGGTCAAAGTGTGAATTTCTTTCTTTTTTTTTTCAGCTGCACGTCTGGAAGAACGAGAAGCAGACCAAAAAGCTGAATTTGACAAATTACACGAGAGATATAATGTTCTGTTGAGGACACATATTGATCATATGGAAAGAACAAAATATCTAATGGGAAGTGAAAAATTCGAAATGATGCAAAGCATGCCTTTACCTTCACAGCAGTTAAGAACAAAGTAAGTGTTTGATGATTGAGATGACTTTTGGTATTTTTGGAAGTATAGATTGTCAACGGTTTTATAAGCTGTTAGAGCTTATTCATCCTATCTGAGGGCGCACAGATTCGTCCATGTAATTAGAAAACAAAATTATTGACTTTATCAGTAACTGTTCCAAATTATATAACAGCACCAGTATCACTGCCAAAATTTGCAATGCAATTTCTCATCAAATTTTCGTTCAAAATTACCAATTCAATGATAAAATTCTGTCTAATTTTTTCCCCTTCCACTGACACTTGGCCATCTCTGGAAAATGCCTCAATCGAAGAATCTTTTATTACCGAAAATAATTTTAGTCAGTATCTACCAGCATCTTCGATAAACGGGTCGTTGTAAGTCCTGAAATTCTGTTATCCTCCTTCTTATGCTTTAGCTGATTAACTCACAGCCTGATCTTAATGCGTTTATGCCATGTTCTTTTTTTCATTTTGTTTATGTAGGGTTTCTTTGCTTTTGTGAAAGAAGAGGAAATTTTCCATGAGATAATTGTCAAACAAACACATTTTCTTCCAACTCTTAATCACTAACTCCACTTATGCTTTGAAAGTTGATGATATGCCTGGGACTTGCATAAACTTCATACTGGAGGTAAGGTTCTCAAATGAACGACAAAAAAGAAACCTTGAAATAGTCTAATTCAAAATGGCTGGGTAGATATTTTGGAAGCTTTGTTAGACAGATTAAAAAGTTGCATTTTATGATTTTAATTTGCTATTTCGCCCTTCAAATGACCTTTGTTAGGTCAAATCACAGTTACTGATCATCAGACAAATTACGCGCATACAAAATAAATTGCATTACTTTTGAAAATGTTTCCGTGTCTTGTCTTGTACAATGTTTCTCGAAACACAAAACGTTCAGGAACTTATGGCTTCATTCTTAAGTATATGGATGGGAGAATTTGCTATGTTTATTAATTTTTCCTCGAGATGCATCACATTTCTGCTATATATTAGTAATTGGTTATTATTATCTTTTCCAAGTCGAGAAATTATACTGAGAAGATGGGATTTGGAAACAGAATTTCATTTCGCATTATATTGGCAGCATACAATTTTCAGATTGGGAATGGCAGCTTCAGTAGATGCAAGCGCGATTCGTGGAGTATCTGATTTGATAAGCGCTCATATGTCACAGAGTACCACACTTGATGTCAACCTTGCCAATCATATTAGCAGCGAATGTAATATTTTTGTAACCAAATGATATTTGCCGGATTTTCAGAGTGGGGAGTGTTGTTGTCAGAGAGCAGATTTACATTTTTGAAAGCAGTGATTTTTGCAGCTGATTGGCATGATGAATTCGGCCAGAATGCCTCTGACATATTGCAGTCACCTCGTGATTACTCTTCTTCAGCCGTGGAATCGCCGCGTGAGGCACCTCCAATACTTCCTGATAGCACTGTCCAGTCTTCCACATCTGTTCCAACAGTAGTTGCAATGTAAATCTGTTTTATTTTGGGAATATTTCGTTCTCTTGTTTGATTTTCTGGGTAACATTAAAATCGAGGCAATCAATAAGAGTTAGCAAAAATTAACTTTTTAGTTTTGTTTGGCATGTAACGTGTGATAGAACTTTGGTCGGTCGAACAGAAGCTACTTGAAAAAGACTAACCGTTAAACCATCTTTCATTAAATTGTTAAAAATAAAGAATCGTTCTTTTCAGTTCATATGTTGTTAATATTGCAGTGATTCAGCTAGTCAACTGTATTAAACTATCAACAAATGATAGTGTCGTTCAGCTTACTTCGAGCTTTTAAAAATAATTTACCACCTCTTAGCGTTGCCTAACTTTTATCTTTTTTATCCCAATATGAAATATTCAAAGGGGCATTATGGGGCAAAGTTAACTCCAGGTTTCTTCGATCGGATAGTAAATTATATGCCACACCGAGTTTTTTATAAAGATTCACTCTGCAAGTTGTAGATTATTTGAAGAGTGTTGATTGAAAGTATTTTATCTATTGTAGAACCAACGATTCTGTGGATTCTCTTGGCGCAGATCTAACAGGTATTTTCGTTGTTTTACTTTATTTTCATTCAGTTTAATTTAACAATATGTTTGGACGTGTCGCTTTGATATTTTTTTGTTCAGTTTACATCTCATCCTGAAACCATTACCTTGCCAGCATAATTATGTTCTCCAAAAATTGATTAAGATATTATAAAGAAAAAAGAAATTGAAAGAAATCCATATGGGTCAGAAGGCTTGTTTTCACATTTTGAACGTCTTTTCAACGGAAATTTGAAAAGGCGTGTTTCTTCTACAGGTGCACTTGTTGATCCGGCCGAATTTGCTTCCGCGGGTAATCCTTCTACTTACAAAATTTTTCACTAGCATTGGTGGTGATTGTTGCTAATATCGCTTCGCATCTACTACTAAAACATTCCAATGACACTTTTCACCTTATATCTAACTGAAGCCAGCCCCATTTCATGCACCATTGTGATTGTAATATTTTTGATAGCATTTATTTGATTGTCACTGGTCGTGGAACATCATCCAATGCGGAGTAACTCCACTATGCACTGCGCTATACGAAATCGGTCACCTGATACGGCAGAGCGTGAAACGGAAATTAAAATAACACGAATAGGGAAGGATCAGAAGACGTATATTTGGATATTCTCACTCTTTAGAACTATTGGTTTTCACGAGATTATCTTTTTATTGATTCCGTTAGGAACACTGTATGGAACGATTCTGAATAGTTTATCTGGTGTTTTTATCGGTTGTTGACGCATCTTATGCTGTGCTGAAATGAGCTGAAAATATATGTTGAGAATGAGTGAGTTATAACTAATAAGAGCAGAGTCACTTTTTGCCGTAGAATAACTGCCAGATAATCTAATTTTTATGTTTTTAATGGTATTACTTATGGTTTTTTGTATGACAGTATGCTTTTTTTTGTTCTGTCTACACTCTTTCTAGAAAAGCTCACTTGTGCAGAGAACATGTTCTCAAGCTGTTTGTGGATTATGGATAACTGTCTACTTTTTCAAAGTTTTATTTTTTTTGGCTTCAAAAATTTCATACTCAAATTTCCACCGACTGAAGCAAGCAGAATGAATGCGTAAAGAACGCCTTCATGTGTTCACCTGAATTACTTTGAAATGAGTTAAGTTTTGCAATACCTAAGAAATGGCAGTTTTTTATCGTGGTTTTTTTTCATCCCTCGCACTTAATGCATGCTTTTTTGCCTATCACACAGTATGCGTTTGCCTTCTTGTTTTCACGAATTTAATGAGAGTTTCATTTCGTCTAGCTTATTTCAATTATTACCAGTTTAACAAATAACAGTTAATGATTGAAATTATATTTCCAGTGAACGATACATTCATCGGTATGTTATACAGTCTGTGATAGTATCTGTGTAATGTGTGCTCATTTTGTTTTGTTTTGTTTTTTGTTTTTTTTTTTTTTTTTTTTTCCTTCCATTTTACTGTAAGGGACAAACAGCATTAACAGCCGGAACTGATTCAGAGGACATAAAGCGTTGTTCTTTATTTTCTTTTTTCTAAAGAGTCTATGTACCATATGGAAGGACGTGCATGGATGAAAGAGCGTCTGTCATTCTGAAGCCATTAAAAAGATTTAATTTTTTCAAAAATTCATCAGGATGATTGACAGCAACTAGGATTGTCTAGTCGAAGTTTTTCAAATAAGAAATTCTGATTCTGAATTGTTGAAGTTTGCAATCAACGGAACTGCACGATGTTGAATATAAATGTTGTATCATTAGTGCATTTATCAGAGCACTCTGGTTTTCTTTTCCTAATTTTTAAACTTGACTGACATGTTTCAGGAATGGGCCGTGAGGTGGAGAATTTAATCAAGGAAAATACGGAATTACTGGAAACGAAAAATGCTCTTAATATTGTGAAGAATGATTTGATTGCTCGTGTTGATGAATTGAGCAGGTTTTTTTTTCCTTTTTTTTTTCTCAATTTGAGTTCTTTCATTTTCCAGACTAGTTATAACGCCATACATCAACATCTCATTAGCGTCGGAAACTGGACAGCATGTGGATCTTGAATTGTTCATTAGTTTTGATGATACTTTAGTGAACAAGATATATTACGTGAAGAGATTCGAAGTTTGGAAATGGTAAGATCGAAGATGGGTGAACGAATAAAGGAACTCGAGTCGGATGTTCGTGATCTCAAAGAGAAATTAGAAGTTCGGAGTGAAGATGATCAGGTAGGCAGCATAGCTTATTTTTTTCGTTGATGTGTTTTTGCTGTACAAAGGAGTCTGTTTCAGCTGTTTTTGCATCTCGATTGCATATCAAATGAATGTCATGTTATTTGCACAATGCAGCGCTTTTTGAATTTTAAGTTGCTGGTGAGAATTCATTTAAAATGATATTACAGCCTCTTAATTCAGGAGGATCTACCGATGGCACAGCGAAAGCGTTTTACACGACTTGAAATGGCTCGTGTTCTGCTGGAACGTAATCAATACAAGGAAAAATTAATGGAGCTCCAGGAAGCCATGAAATGGACTGAAATGCAACGTGCTAAACGTTTAAATGCTCTAAATACTAAAAAGAGTAGCGGAATCTGGGAATTGTTAGTATTGAATTGAATATGTAGATAATATGTAGCTTTTCTAAGTTTCATAAGTTACGGTGTATATTTTATACATGGGAATTACAAATTTCAGAATTTTCAAATATTCTATTTTACCATTGCCAAATTCGGTAATAATTTTTTAGCTGATAATTCTGAGTAATACCGAGTTAATTATTTAGTTTCTCTGGTTTATTTATGCACGAACCGCCACATAGTTCAAATCGTCGCAGAAGAACAGCTGGTAGTGAGCGTGATACCCTTCGTCGCTCTAATGCAAAAATAAATGATTTCATGGATAGTGACTAGTATGTTACATTTTATATTCACTGAAGGTCATAAATTGAGAAAATGAAACTGAACAGAAATTCTAATAGCTCGATGTTACCCGAATTTCAAATAAAACATTAAATGCTATTTAGTTCATCTGAAAGAAGAGCTGCAGAACGTCGACAGCAGTATAAAATTGTAAAGGAACATATGAACCGTGAAGAAAGTGATCGTTTCCATGCGTATGGATGGTCTGTTCCAGCGGTTTTTGGTGAAAGTAATGACAGTGCTGTGGTGCCAGTCCCAGTGTTTTGCAGACCACTCATTGATTTGGATTCTTCATTGAAGGTATTACTGGTTTCTGGCGTTGTATATCTTCGGAGCAAGTATGAGAGTTGATCTACAATTTGTTCTGTCTTGTTCCACATAAACAGTAAAATAAAGGTTAGTTTAGCTTACAGATTAGAAAAACAAGAATGTTTTTAATGCTGTATTGTACGGAATGTTCGAAACGTATGCCATATTTTTTAAAATTTCATTGTTTCGACATTAGTTGTCTCCAAGTTGTCAGATTTGGTGTTCATCGAGTGTAACTTTGCGAGGGGGTAGAACACTTGATGGTGGATATATTGTTGACGACTCAATATTTTGTTTGGATCCTAAAACTCCAAGTGAATCTACGCCGCTTGAAAAGTCGATAAATCAGCTTGATATCGAACATAAGGTACTTGTTGCTCCATAAATTTAATGCATTTTATATAAATGCTTCATGAAAAGATATGTTTTTTGCAATGGTAGATAAGTACACATATAGTAAAGTGAAACATATAAATAAAATGAAGCCAGATTTATTTAAGCTCATTACAAACAAACAGTAAACAGGCACATCCAAATGATAGAAGAAACTGCGAGACGTTAAATATTTGCTTTTATTTGGCTGTTGCAACCGGAAAATATAGAAAAAACGTATTATCTATACTCAATAATTATATGCATTTTGTGTATCATTTTACCACTCCTTTTCGTGGAACATGAATATGTTTGGCATGAAATAATTTAAATGTTGTCTTAATTTGCTGAAACTGAAGGGCAGAAGATATCAAGGTGGTGGAATAAAAGTGGAATAAAAACTGATATCAGAAAATAAATAGGAACCAATGGAGGATGATCGTCAAGTGGAAATACTTGCATGGAAGAGTTCAAGTTTGCTGTGGGTGTGCAGTTCAAATCAAAGACATAGCCATGTTGTTATACTAGATGCAAATAATCCAAACAGTGTTATCGATACGTTCCAAGCATGTTCCGCACACGTTCTCTGTGTCTCATCTGTACCAGGTCAAATAGATTTACCCTATCTTATTTTGTATAGTCTGATGTAGTCGTTTTTTCAATAAACATTTAGATAAATGAATTCTAAACGGAAAACAAATTTGAGGTGTTCAAGAGTTTGATTATCCTTTGGAAGATACGAACTGGAAAAATTTTTGTCGTGGTGGTGGTTATGTGAAAGACTTGCCATCAGATATCAACGAGCAGGAACAATTTGGTGCTGTGCATTGGGTATCTGTTTTTATTCAATTTAACGATTATTCAAATTATTTCTGAAAAGCGACAGAGAAGTAGTTTTTGCAATTAATGTGTTTCCATACCTAGGTGGAGTTGCGAAAACTTGACTCGGATGAAGACACAACGCTAACTTACTGTGGCCCCGGCCAGAAACCTTCTCCGCAGCGTTCGCGAGATTGTAAGTTTAAATTTCTAACTGTGTGAATTTAATTTTGAACTCAATGATTTCAAGTATATACATATATGGGATATTTACATCAAGTTATATTTTGAAAATATTTTGTTTCAGTCAGCGTTTGTGAACAAACTGGACCGAGTACATCCGAGAGTAATCAAGGCCTAAACGAAGTGACTGAGCTCGGTGAGCTTTATCTTGCCGTTGTAACGTTCAATTGTTTGTGTATAACTTTTCATTTATTAGGTGTGACCAAGTTATCATTAATCATTCACCATATATTGCAACTACAAAATTAATTGAATTTGCTATGAATTATCTTTTTGTCATCTTGCTTATTATCTTGAGTTACTTTTTCATTATGACATTAAACTTCCTCACATGCACATGTAGTCAAAATGGGAAACGAAGTGAAAGATGAGAACGAAACGAAGAAAGCTGAGGATAATGGCATTCTGAAGAAGTATACACTTTTGGAAAAACTTAAAGAAGCAGCCGATAAAGGCACTCTTCTTTTTGGTGAGACAATATGGATAATGTATAAAGAAACCATTGTAACTTCATTGTACAGTTTTTGTGATTTCATGTTTACGATACGTTTTTACAATTTTTTTTTATTTTTTATGACTTTTTTTTGCGATATAGATGAGAAGTTTTCGACGTAGACTGTTCGCAAAAAATTTCAAGTGAATTATTTTTCGTGAAACTGTTGTGGATGTAATCATTTCTATATTCCTTCAGTTCTTCTAGTTTCCTTTTCAACTAAAGTTTTCAAAATTATTTTAATCGTGGAAATGAAGGTGCGGCATGCAAAAAAATTCCTGCCAATCACCGAAGTATTGTTTATGGTGCATATCTTTTTTATCGGGTTCTTTCTTCTTTCTTCCACTGATGTCTTGTGGCGTCTTGCGTCTTGACATAATTTCGGTTTTGAAATTGTAGATACTAGACAAGTTCAAAGCTAATCCTACTTTATTATTTATATTTACACGTGCCTTTCTTGGGGCAGTCGCTTTCGTAGTTTTCTGCACTGATAAGATTTTAAGGCTGTGTAACCTATAAATGTTTGTTCTTTTTTTTTGATAAAATTTTTGCTTTTGCAGACGTTCAGGCATTCATCATTGTCTCTATAAATTGCATGATAGTCTTCTTTCAAATATATGCATTCTAACATAATTTTTTGACGTTTTTAAAAATTTCCAGATGCCTTGGAACAGACAGAGAAGCATGGTATTGGTACACTTCCAGCTCATATTAAAGATAGACTCAACAAGTATGAAGGACTATCAGACAATATGACAACGCTTCCAACAATGTGGATGGGATCTCAGAATGATTAGTAAGCTCAGTTGTGATAATTTTTTACTATGAAAGTTCTCGTGATTTAAATGATATTTCACTGAATTAGCTGGTAAAGAGTGACCTTTCCATCTCGACTATATTGTAATGGCGTCTCATTGAATCTTTTTTCTTTTAATTTTTAATCCGGTAGTTGCCAGTTGGTTTTTTCGGTTCCATTTCTTCATTGTCTTCCAATGTTTTCCTCGTATATATTTACAGAATTCTTGTGACTTATAATTTATTTTTTATTTTTCCAGTATATTTATTCATTCGGCTGTATCGAAATGGCGTAAATGTTTGCGGCGTATAAAGATGCCTGACGCGGTCCTTTCCATTTTGTAAGTTTTAAACAATTTCGTTAACTGCGTTTACTCTGCATTTACTTCCTTGTGATTATCTTCATAAATGAACGGAAAGAGCAAAGGGCACTTCCAAAACTGTTAATGGAATTGTCACATTTCGTTCAGTTCAATTCATGATTGTCTTTTCTTGCTTACCGCAAAAAATGTGGAATTTTATGAAATAATTAAAATCTCTTTGAAATTCAGTGTATATTCTCCGCATCTAACTAGACCATCCTAGGTATGTTCGACATTCTAGCTTCTTAACTTTTCAGTACTTCGGATATTCATGGAATTACTTGAGATATTTTTTCAATAAATGAGTTTGTGTATTTTGCAGACATTACAAGGGAAGAGTATTCGCTGCATTGGCTAATGGATCTATCGCTGTTTTTCATCGAGATGCAGGTATGTTTCCTTGGTGCATTTTTTCGTCTTATCAAAGGATTTATGGGGAATGAAATTATAATCTTTGTTTTTTATTATGGTAAGAACTCGACAATATACGGTGGGTTATGCGCTTCATTCCAGCAACGTTAAACTGGTAGAGCAGACATTTCACATTTTTCTGTTGATTGAATTCAAAAGAAATATGGAATAAATCTGGAATAAACTGGCTTAGACAGTTTTGTTTGGCATACAGTTTTGACAGAAAAATTCATATTTACAATATGCAATTCGATATTTACAGAAAGCAAATTGCAGATCTTAACGTGATTTTTAACTTTAATGAACTCAGTCCTTTTTTTAGAGGTTTTTTGTTGCAGATAGCACAATAATTTTTTTAGCTGGTGGTTGGTCCGAAGCGGGTTACCACTGTATTACTGTTGGCCGCGCAACAAGTTCAGTAAGATCACTTTCGATAGTGGGCGATCGTTTATGGGCTGCTTACCGCAACTGCATCATTGTTATTGACCCAAAAGAACTTACTGTAAAGGTCACTTTTGTCGACTGTGTATTACTATAGAGTTCTAAGAATTTTCCATCAAGCTTGTAAGATCTTGTCAGAACGGATAATATTTGTTTTTCAGTTATTCTGTTGCAGAAAGTTTTTGCCGCACATCCGAGACGAGATAGTCAAGTGCGTCATATGCAGTGGGTTGGTGATGGCGTATGGATCTCCATCCGACTTGATTCAACACTTCGACTTTACCATGCCTATAATTATGAACATCTTCAAGATATTGATATTGAACCGTATGTCACAAAAATGTTGGGTATGTTTGCTTAACAACTAGTTCTGAATTATTCAACCTTTATATAGTGTGAAGGTGGATAGACTCATTAATTAGGCTAAGCGTGTAGCTGCGCCGTAGTCAAGTATGCTGATGTTCATAGTTTTCAAATTCATGCAAGCTTGGTTTTCCCTGTGAAATTCCTTACAGGTACTAATAATCTGGATTATTCCTATATGCGCACCACTGCGTTATTGGCGATCTGTCGACGTTTATGGATTGGCACAGGGACGGGTGTTATTATTTCAGTACCCCTTTCTGGAAGTAAGTCGGTATTCCAAGTTTTGTCGACTGAATTTTTTTTTTAATTAACATCAAAAGATGTTATAATTTAGTAAAAACGCTAAATATATTGAAAGCTGAAGACATTCTAAAGACATTCAGCACAATGTTCCCATCCTTTAAATGCAAAATGTGTTTTATGTGAAAACTGGATGTACTAAATTGTAAATACTTTGTCATTTGTTTGAACTATAAACTTCTGTTTATATTTAATGTTCAAATATCTTCTTATTTTGATGCTTTTAAAGTTTGTTGTTTAACTATAACATGGATTAGTGCAGATGTTAATTCAATTAGACAACTTTTTATGGCACTGCCTGATTCTCCATCTTAGAATGAAATAGAGCTAATAAAAATGCAGAAATTCGAGACGAAGTATTTGCAGCTAATGAAAATCGAGTTGAGACAAAATTGGAGACCGAAGATATACGAGGTCCAGGCGGATTAATTAGAGTTTATGGCGATATGACCAATGAAAGAATATCACCTGGTAGTTTTATACCATATTGTGATATGTCGCATGCTCAGCTCTCATTCCATGGACACAAAGATTCAGTGAAATTCTTCTTGGCTGTCCCTGGTGAGTTTTTTTTGACTGAAAACATAGTTGGTTTTCCCATTCATCGTGTTTAAAATACTTGTTTTACCTGTTGTCCTGAAATGATATAAAATACTGACAATGTTGTATAGCCATCCTTAGAAATAAACAATACTTCCAACCCGTGATTTTAAAGAGACATGCAAGAAAAGTGTAAATACCAACAACTGCGATTTTATGCGATTGTTGCTTTCGAGGTCCTAAAAGAGATATTATAAATATTGTTATTTTAATAATAATTTTGGATATTTGATGCATGTAATTAGTTTTACCATGGAATTTTTGAATTTTATTCTGCATTGAAGGTGCAAATGCAGATGCCTCGTTAGCAACCTCTACAAAGTCTTTAAATTATACTGACATGCCATATAAATCAGCTTCATTCAAAATGCTTGTTGTTTCTGGTGGTGATGGATATATCGACTTCAGAATGGGTTTGTACACGTCTTTCATGTTTTTTACTTCCATTTTGCGTAATTCCAAAATGAAATGACTATAACAATATTTAGGAGAAGAGGAGGATGTTATAGACGTGGCAAATGCAGTGCAAGCTCGTGATTTATCGCACCTGATTGTTTGGGAATTATCTACAAAACCTTTCTTTTAATGGTTTGGCGGCGCACTCTTATTCAAACAAGATTTTAAGTTGGGTTACTGGTGTACGTGAAATTTTGAATTTTCATTAAATTTGTGTTTTTCTGATTATAATTCTTTTTTTCCTTACATCTTTTTCGTTCCTTTTCGTTATCTCGTGATAACAAGGCTAGTCATTCGCTCCATATTTTTGTTTCCAATGAAATGAGAGTTCTTAGTTCATTTCACTATTCCAAAAAGTTGTTATGATTGATTGTGAAAAACCGATGCGTTATTTTTAGTCTTGTGTTATATTATCTGTAGTTCTTTTCGTAATGTTACTAAGGACAGCATTCAATCGAAGCTAGTGTTTGTCATGTTTTTAATAGTTTAATGTGTTCTTAACTCTATAGCTTTGTGTTTTCATTTAAGATGTCTCATGTACATGACTTTTAGCTTTATTGCTTGGCGACTAAATTTAATGAAATTTAAAATTTCGAATGTTTGCAACAGGCCTTTCTCCACGAAGTTTTGGAAGCACTTTTTCTAGGACGTACTTGACTTTTTTCGGAAAAAAAAATGGTGAGATGGCTGAAATGGCTTCTAAAATTTACAAGATTCTGAAATAAATCGCTTATAAAAATGCCCAACGTTCTTCTGAGTGTAAATGTAATACCAGTGAATCAGATCAGTTTTTGTAAATCCTGTTATTTCCAGTTTTACTTAATTTTTCTCTTCGATAAATTCTAGTTGTTTGGTGTGTTAATATGATTAGTATGAAGTTTTATGTACTATGAAATTCGACGACGATTCTCAAAAGTGAATCTGATTATTAATAAGAAAGCCTTATTGTGGGAAATGCTTAACTTTCATTCTTGTCCAAAATAGATTTTGAAGATCCGTTCGCAGACCCGTTCATTTGTACTGGCAAAATTAAGTTTAGGAGGTCAGAAAGCTTTTAACATTGCACTGTCATTTTTTCAATGTTTCTGTCATTCATCACAAATAAACAATAAGTCGCGCTCCCACTTGCGATAATATCCTCTTCCGGTCCATTGACATTCCAAAAGTGACTATTGGGTCTTCAAAATATCAGTATCCTACTACCACTACTTAACTATAAGAACAGGGAAGGGATGGTAATCCTTCACTTTCAAAGTTATTGCTAAGAATGATCAATACTAACTTAAAAGCGAAGTCGTGGCGCGCTTGCAACGATGAGCTAAATTTGCTCATTCTTAGCAAAGGCTTGCACGTGGCGAGCTGGACCTGTGAAAGTATTAAGATTCCTGATGGATGAACTCAATTATTACTCTCTTCCTCCTCATTATCACTAACTGCCAGTTTATTTGAGAAATGGATTGACTGAGATTCATCATCCTATGCGGAAACATTGATCATGAGAAATACTGAACATCACTCTATGAAATCCGATAGGATCTGAGAAAACGATGAACTTACGGCTTGGTAATCGAATTGGTCGACCTTCACAATTCCGGTAAGATCCTTCACTATTTAAGCATTTTTGCTGGCAGGATCGACCATGTTGATCGATTACTGTATTGTAGAATCTCACAAGCAGTATGCCAAACCGAAAATTGAATTCCACATTAAAATGAGGACTGAAAATGGCACGGAATTACTATAAGTACTTTGGAATAGAATACAAGACGTCCTCTTCGTCTTCCTTACTTCAGTTTCAAGTTAAGTCTCTTAACTTTTATGAATTTAAATCTCTTAATTCCAAGCTTCAAATCTAAAGAAATTTGGTAGCATTTTTAAAAATAGATGGGTGATATAAGTTTTTCCGGACAGAAATAGAAATTCAATTTAAAGTCTTTCAGCAAAAGGTGATACTTTTCACAATCGTAAAGGACGTCACTTTGATCTTTTTTGTAAAACCATAGAGCATATTTGCGCAAATCAGTTAATATCACGGGCGGCAACAGCTCGACTCAGTAAGTTATTACGTTTTGGTTTACCTTCAATAACAGTAATCGGAAAGTATACATATTGTGAGAGGACATTTAGAGCAGCGGTGGTCTGCAGTAAAAATTGGCAAGATTTGTCGTCAGTCGTTTTATGTTTTTGTCTTTTTTTTTTTTTTTGTTTTGGCTAACAATAACAATTTTGCATCTTTTATGCCAAATTCAGAGAGCTTCGAACTTGAAAATCAATCGAAAAAAAAATATCTTTCACTTGTACTATTTACAGAACTTTTAGAAAATTTCCAAAATTTACTGCTGTTAGGAGAGAAAGTCTGTCGCAGAGACGTCAGCAAGGCATCACTTTTTTCAATTCTGAACTGCCGATCGATTGTTCCTTCGGTATCGTTAATATTTTGCTTTACCATCAACAAACTATCATTAGTTACCTCATTCACATCGCGACAGAGCTCTATCAGCATAATCAATGAATCTAGTTTCGTCATTTGAGCTTCTGTTCGATAATCCCATATTGGAATGTCATTCCAATACTCTCAACTTGTAAGAAAAAACAGCACTGGTTAAAAGACAACAGTAAAGGATAGCATGTGAAATGAAACTTAACATTCTGCAAAAGCTAAATAGCGGCATTTACCTCTAGATGATTGATTCTTTAGTCATCACTGCAACTGCTAATGCATCAATCAAGGCACCATTATTTGTAATGTTTCTCGATAACCTAATCTAGCTACTGCAGTTCTTTCCGCCCATTCTACACGCCTTGTTGAATTGGTTTCAGATTCCAGAAAATTTCAAATAGTGTTTTTCTAATTTTGGCATCATTTGGTGTTGAAAATTAGTACTCTTCAGCAGAATCTTAACTGACGACTCTGTTGGAAGAAGCACTGCTCATACAGAAACGGAGATGTAGAACCTGTCATGTCATGCTCCGAAAAATAAGAAAATTCTTGGTACCTTCTATCAAGACATTTTTGGTACCGGCGAGCAAACTGGTTTTGTCAGAAAATCCTTCTTGAAATCTTTGTAAAACATTCTGCAGTTCTTCGCGAATTCTTAATTGAATTACTGTAGCGAGATATATCAAAACAATAAGTGATAACACGCTCATCCTGATGCTTTCAGTGGAACGCAACTACAAATGAATTTTTATTAAGACTTTTTTTAGATAAAAACAGCTTAGATAAAAACAGAAAAAACATGGGGAACTAATAGGAAATAAATGTAAGGAACAAAAAATGATTAAATGATATGTAATGTTAACATTCATTTACAATTTGAATAAGAAATTTATTTTATTATTTATTTGGAATTTCGCGATATTGAAATTCGCGACAACTGCCTAGAGGTAATTTGTCACTACCATCTTCTAGAAACTGATCAGCGAATCTATCTATATACCTTTTATGTTCTTCCAGTACATCACTTCGAAAAGAACATTTGCAGCACTGTTAAAACTGTTAATAGTTTTTTGGATTCGAATTCTAAAGCATTTATCTAAGTGGACGCTCGTTACAATCTACATTTCGTAACAGTTATAACTTTGTACGATTCATTGTTGCTTTTATCTCTTTCCATTTAAAGAAAACTGATTCGTGTTAAGCACTACACTGTACTGATACAGCATGTAATAAATGGAATCAATGGCCATGCAGAACTCTATTTGGCTAGAAGAATATATAGGGCCAGGACTTCTGTCCATTGCTTCACTCCTTGTCAGTTCATTGAGGCTAAGCCAAACGATGGAGAAAAGATGAGTGAAGAGCTTATGCATGTCTTGTCGCAATTCATTATCACAGAAAAAAATTAGTTTTAAATATTGTGAAATCTCAAATATTGTAAAACTACATTTAAAAAAAACGTAGAACAAAAGTTATCCCAAAGGAATATAAATAACGATTAGCCGATCGGAGACGCTTCATTATGAGAACTCCTCTGACATTGAAATCGAAAGATTTGAAGGAACGATTGTAGGAAGTGTTCAAAATAATGCTGTGGTTAGTAAAGGTAGACAGAACGGAAGCTACAGATATTGTTTATTCCTAAATACTTTATTTCCCACATATGGAAAAACAACGAAATACCCTGGTCGTAAAATTACATAGCAATAAAAGATATTATGCCAAAATTTCACCCTCAAATAGAGCAAAACCAATTTAAAAACGTGGTACAAAAAGTTATTCCGAATTATACTGAAATTTAAGACATAAACTGGAACTTCCTACAATTCAAGAGGAAGCAAATTACGCGTATTACAAGTGAGCTGTTGAAGGGGAGAGGTCAATGCATGGTGATGATGATAACTGTGAGAACTGATAGCGCTGAACAGACGATAACGATAATTAAATACAATTATGATTTTTATATTAGTACAACATGAAGACAATTAGCAATATTGTTGTAATAATAGACAATAGCAGCAGTAATAATGAAAGAGGCGGACAAAGTTTCAGTAGCAAGGATAGAAATGAGGGTTACGTGCAGATGTCAGCACCTCTGTTTATAGGTTCTTCTCATCTCCCTGAGGAAAAGCTAAAAATAGAGAACTAACTCGTCCACATCCTCGCATTTGGAAGTTGCGAAGTACCCCGCTTAATCTGACCTGCTTCATTTATTAAGTAAACAGCAGTTCTCGATCCATCTCAGGATACTTATTATAACTCTTCATACATTCCCTGACAACTACATCATTATCTGCTGCTCTCTAGAGCCATTATTCTCTCTTAGCACCTGCGATTTCCCAAAACAAATTCCCCGCAATTCGAACAATAATCCTACCACTGTCTCTATTCGGTAACCACAATGCTTACAGTTCATTCTCGACGTGTACGGATAGGCCGCATTAAATACTGTAAAATGACCATATAATTTTGAATTTAAGCTATTCGTTGTGGTGGTGGGGTAGTGCGTTATTCTAACTGGTTTATTTGCTAACCGTACTTCTGCCCCGTTTCATATCTATCAGGCCATTATTGCAGAGGAGTGTTGCTTCAAGAAATACAGGCAACCTTTTCCTAGTTAACTTCATGGGATCAACTTAGCATGTGTATCTTACGTTAAAGGTGATCAGATAATGACTGCCATTTTTGGCTGTAATCAACTTTCAGGTCAAAGTTTACTTATATCATTCAATGGTAACTAATCATTCCATTAATCAGTTTCACCACTGATTTATTCTACGATGTATATCAAAGAGGTATGTTTATTTTTCTCTGCTTCCACCCTGTTTTTATTTACTGCTTTTTAAATAAACTGTATATTTAATAAACTGCTTGCTTGGTTCTGATGGGCTGTATTTATAGTTCAGATGATTTGATTTTTAATGTCGGAATGGAATGTTGCTATTTTTGATTCTTAATATCACTGGTGATTACAGGTTAATATAAGCGGATTTCGTAGTTATCGCGAAACAACAGTCAATGACTTCTCACCACGACATAATGTTGTTGTTGGGCGAAATGGTAGTGGGAAGAGTAACTTCTTCTTCGGTAAGCCGTTAACTAAAAGTGAAAAAAATCCAGTTCTCATGCATTTTTGGAGCTATGTAATTATAAAAGGTGTAGAAAAAATTTACATGAAGGCCTTGGTTTTTGCCGAAATGAAATCACAGAAGGAGAAGGGTCTCTCCTACGTTTCTTTGTAGTGTAGTTTTTCCTTCACTCATTCATCCATGATTTATTGAAATAACTTCTTTTTAAAATTTGATAACTTTTTTTTATTCTTACTAAACAAAAAACATATTCTTTCTTACTAAACTTATTCTTACTAAACAAGTTTTGTTTCATTTCAACAAATACTAAGGCTTTCATGTAAGTATTCGGGAACGTAATTGTGTCTCTATAACAGGACTCGCAGTTCTTGCGAGGTGCTTCCTACACAGTTTGATTTCTGCAGAAAATCTTTTTGTCATTGACTTGATGCCTTTTCAAAATTCCGTTATGCTGGACTTTTGAAATTTAATGATTATTATTATTGTAGCTATACAGTTTGTGCTTTCGGATGAATTCAGCCATCTTAAAGCAGAACAAAGACAAGGTTTAATTCACGAAGGTACGGGAGACCGTGTTACGACAGCCAGCGTCGAAATTGTTTTCGATAATGCCGACCACCGAATCGTTGCCGTAAGTTTGCATTAGTTTCGGAGGCTAAGTATGAATGCTTCTTGGTTCTAATTGTTGTGATTTTATTTATAACTAACATCAGGGTTTTTATACTTCTACCATTTACTTAGAATTTAAGGGAATTAATTCATTTTTTTCAGATTGAAGCAAATGAAGTGCGTGTTTTGCGGCGTGTAAGCATGAAGAAGGACCAATATTTTATCGATGCAAAATTGGTTGCGCGTAGTGATGTGAGTTTATAATACCGTTTCATTTAATTTTTTGGATTTCTTCAAAAATAACGAATTTGTACTTTCCGAAACTTCTGATCATTTTATTGTCATGACTAGGTTGTGAATTTGATGGAATCAGCAGGCTTCTCTCGTTCGAATCCATATTATATCGTAAAACAGGGGAAAATCAATGAACTGGCAACATCACCTGACTCACACCGCTTGAAATTATTGCGTGAGGTTGGTGTATTCAGTTACTTATTCTTTTATTCATGAAGATGCTGCTCTTCAGATTAATGAATTATATGTTTTAGGTGGCAGGAACACGAGTTTACGATGAACGAAAAGACGAAAGTTTAAAAATATTGCGGGAAACAAGTCTGTTCTACTTAACTTCAGAATCCTGTACTAAATTGGTTTTATTTTGAATTGGTTCAGTAAGTGTGAATTCCTTGCAGATGCCAAAAGTGAAAAGATCGAGACTTTACTTGCATTCATTGAGGAACGACTGAAGACTCTAGAGGAAGAGAAAGAAGATTTGAAGGAGTATCAAAAGTGGGACAAAATGAAAAGGTTGTTCTATCTCCCGATATAACGCATTTTTCTTATTCGGTAAATAGGCTGGCTGTTTACTGGTTGTTGATTGGTCTACTCTGTGTTTTTATTATGCTTTTCAGATCTAATTTTACAGACACTAAACTTTGACTGCTTTTAACCTCGGAATTAATCGGTCATTTTGTAGATCTATCGAATATATGATATATGACAACGAGTTAAAGGAAGCTCGAAAGAAGCTAGATAAGTTGGCTGAGCAACGTGAAGAAATGAACACCCGACAGAGCAAGGTTTCTTATTAAATTCACAAATTTCATTTGAGCCTTCTTTTGCAGCAAGCACTTCGCATTTCATTTTCCCTGATATTCTGTGCTATATCTGTATTTGCAGGTTACGAATGACTTACTAAATGCTCAGAATCGCGCTTTACAAGCATCGGCAGAGCAGCGCAAATTAGAAGCACGTTTTAAAGGAATGCGAGAAGAAAAGGAGGCGCTTCTAGCTGAACAAACTGAACGTGTGCAACGAAAAACTGAATTAGAGCTTTTAATCAATGACTTACGCGAAGATGTAGAAAAGGAACGCTTTGGGAGAGTAAGTTAATATTTTCGTGGATTCCCACAATTTAGACGTGTTGTATTAACCATACTAAATGCTATGTAAATTTTAATCATGGAACGCTGCTTTAAATCTTAATCTTTTTCAAGTTTCACGTAGTTTCCATAGAATTCTAATACTGAGATATAACGCTGGAAAATTTTTCGATGATGAACCAACAAATCGTCAAACTAAACTTCTCAAAGTCTATCTGATGAATTCTAGGATAAAGCAGAAGATGTGTTGAACAAGCTTAAAACAGACATAGCTGCAAAAGAAGAAGAACTCAATACGATTGTTCCAAAATACAAAGCTTTAGTTGAAGATGCGGCACGATTAAATACTGAGTAAGTGTAACAAAATGCTGTTCCAGGTTGTTTACTTTGTACTTTTCTACTCAAGGTATTTTCGAACTGAAAACATCGCTTTATTTGAAATTGTTACAGTATTCGCATTGCGGAACAGAGATGCAAAGAACTGTACGCAAAACAAGGATACAGGGATCAGTATAAGACTGTTGAAGAACGTGATAAGGTTAATTTTTCATCGATTTACCTTTAATTAAGTTTAATTTAATAAAACTTTAACTTTGATAATTATGTGATTAGTTTTGTTATCCAATAATTATATGGTGATTAGTCATCCATGCTTGTGCTAAGACCTAGTCTATGAGACAATTAAGGTAGTCGTAATTTAAGTCGATCTAGATTTTACAAAAGGAAATTCGATTCTACGATCGTCAGCTTCAAGATATTCATGAACAGATTGCTGGTATTGAAAAAAGTCTTCAAGATGAAGAGCAAGAAGAACAGCAGCTTCATCAGAAAATTATGGTAAATGCTAACAAATTAAATATTATTATGCTTAATTCGATGAATTACCATACCCCATTTGATTCGTCCTGAGTTACAGCAGTAAAATGTTTTTTCCTAGGCAACTGAATATTCAAAGATGATGTGGTTATTTAGGAAATTGGATTAGGAGCCGAAGAATTTGTTGACAAATTAACAAAGATGAATCAAGATATGGCCGATCTAAGACGTCGGTTAGATGAAGCGAGTGTTGCTCAGCAGTAAGTTTAACACTTTTAGAACTGGCAAGATTTAACTGGATAAATCTGATGTTGTTCTGATATTATTTATTCTAAATTTATTGAGAAATTTACTATGCTCATAAACTGCAGGGAGGCATCAAGAGAAGAAAAAACATCTCGTGATAATTTAGAGGCAGTAAAAATTGATGTGCAACAAGCTGAGCAAGATTTCCGGCGTCTAGTCCCGAAAGTAAATTATTTTATTGTTGAGAATGAGAATTTCAACTAACCTTAAGCCCTGAAATTGCGAATCCAAGTGAGTCATAACAGAGATTAGTTTACATTAGAAATTTCGATCTTTTATTTCATATTTAACAAATCCATACATCATGAGCACACCCTTATTTCATCAATGAGTTATTTTTTGATCCTCCTTATTTTTAGTCTGTAATGAATGGAGTGGATAGCGTGCGACATGTGCTGGATCATTTTCGTGCCCAGAATCGGAACGGACAGTATGACACCGTTCTGAATGGCTACCGTGGTATTATTTTCATCTCACTTTTTCTTTTTCATTTTATTTCTTAAGGTAAAATACATAATGGGGATTATTCTAATCGAAATACCTTAAAATTACTTAGGTATTGTGATTGAATTGTTTCGTTGTGATAAAGCTTACTACCAAGCAGTTGAAGTTACCACTGGTAACCGTTTATTTTATCATGTGGTTGATGACGACCGTATTGCAATGAAAATCATGAAGGAGGTTTGTTTTTAGATGGCACAAGCTTGATTTTTAATTGAACATACCTAATTTCGTAATGAAACATCTTAATGAGACTTTTTTATTGCTACTTTAATAACCATGGAAGGAGATTTCAGAGAAATAATGATGAAGAGACGGGATAACCAAAGGCTATATCGTCTTTATTTGTTATCTGTTTATTTTATCTTTTATGTGTTTATTTTTGTCATTATTGTTTGATTTCAGATAAATCAACAAAAATTGTTGGGTGAAATAAATTTCTTCCCGCTAAATCGTTTGATTGCCAAACCAAGAAGAGAAGTTAATGACCCAGTGAGGAATTTAAAATCAAATAAATGAAATGATGATTAGATGCAGATGTTCATTTTATTGCACATCGGTTGACAATCGTTAAAGTTGTCATTGCTTTATTTTGTTACAGGAAGCAAGACTTTTAATTGATGGAATGGAATATGAACCCGTCTACGGTGTTGTTTTTCGTCATATTTTTGGGAACGTAGCTGTAGTACGTAGTATGCTTGCTGGCAATCGTCTGGCAAAACGTGAAGGGTTCGACTGCGTTACTTTCGAGGGTTCATTTTTGCTTTTATATATTTAACGGCATAAGAAATATCATGATTACTTAGTTTTTCCTTATACTTTTTCTTCACTAATCTATTTTAGGTGACCAAATGAGTCGGCGTGGCGAAATGACGGGAGGATTCCTTGACGTGAAACGATCTCGTTTGGAACTTTACAGCACCGTCCAATACATGCATGCGCGAAAAATTGAATTTGAGGTTTTTATTTAATGAACAAATAGAATGATTTTCGAACCAAAGTTAGTTTTTCTAATACTTCAAATAAAATATTTGAATTATATGAAAATTGTTCAGGAAGCCCTTGAAAAAGCGATTCATGCCAATAATGATAAAGCTTCAAACGTAGAAAAGCTGCGTATAGAAGTTGATACTCTGGAACGTGAAGTTTTGTATCTAAAGTTTGTTCTTTTTTCATTGCTCCTTTATTGCTTGAAATTAGGTTTTGAGAAATCAAAATGAAATATTCTTCAAACCGCAAGCAGCAACTCCAGTCCTATTTTCTCTAATGTTTATTTTGAACAGGTTAAAAGCTTTCTATTTTTCATCTGTTCAGGGACAAGCATAGAGCCGCATCTGAAAAAAAACGTTACTTATCACAACAGCTGCAGCAAAGTGCAAAGAATAAAGAACCAAAGGTTTTTTACAGTTATTTTTTATAACAAAGTTCCGTGGCACTTGTTGATCAGGAAAGACGAAGAATTCAAATTTCTTCGTCAACTTTGACAAAAAAAAATTTTATAAAGTTTTTCGACTTGTAGATAGGGCAATGCTTATATCTGAGAAATCGAATCCGCGAAATGGAAGCGACGAAAGAAAGCTTGCAGCGACAACTTGGCACTCCTCTGCTCTCGCAACTTAGCGATGAAGAGAAAAACATGCTTGATCAATTGCAGGTAACTTGTGTGGCTTTTACTGCACTCACTGTTAACAGTGCAATGTTTCATTATTTCTTCTTCATTTTTATATGGCAGTTGATACTTATTGCAGGAAGATATAAAAGAAAAAAAAACGTCTTGATTCTGTTAGTCGATCAAGGACTGAGTTAGAGTCTACAAAATTGCGATTGGAAAATCAGCTGACAACAAACCTTCATCGCAAAAGGGAAAGCTTGCAGTCGGTAATCACTGTTTGATTATTATATATGGATATCACTGTTTAAATTTTTATCATTTTAAGCTTTTCCATTTCACATATTTTCTAACCTGACTTAAAAAAAACTGGGTTTAACCTTGTTTCAGAAAATTCATGATATATCCGTTGATGAAAAGCGTAATCATCTTCAGTCAGAAATGGCGGAACTTAAGTCTGTTAATAATCGGCTTTCTGAAATTATAACACGGCTCTCCGGTTAGGTTTCATTTCACTGTGTCAGTCTGTTTCTCATTCATAGTCATTAAATGTTTTCGATTTCTACAGAGTTGGAAGAGCATTTGGGTGAATTTGAAGTAAGCGATGAGAAATTAACGCGTGAATTGGAAGATTGTCAAGAGCAGCAGAAAGATTTGGAAGCACAAGTCGCTGATTTTTCGAAGCAAGTCGATTTAATTTGCACGAAGCAATCAGCAATGCAGACAAAACGAGAAGAAATTACCAAAAAGGTGTCTTTAGTATTTTTTTCTTTTTGCTCAGTTTGTACAAGCAAGCGGCCAGAAGGTGGATTTCGCTTTATTTTCCTAATGTATTTTAATATATGTATTTCTTTGATCTTGTTTTAAAAAATGTCCAGCAATGAATTTGAATGTTACAGATACGCGAGCTTGGTTCGTTACCAATGGATTCGAAGAACTATGAAAGTTATTCGCTGAAGCAGTTAGATAAGAAGCTGAGCGAAGCTTTAGAGCAGTTAAAAAAGTATGAAAATGTAAACAAAAAGGCACTTGATCAGTTTGTGCAAGCAAGCAGCCAAAAGGAGGATCTCGCTAAACGGATGGATGAACATAGAGCCAATCAGAAGGTTGGTATATGAATGAAGATTTAACCCTTATAAAATTGCTGGATTTATAATGTGTTAAATAATATTAAGTCAAAAGATAAAGAGATATCTTTTTGTTATTTTTCAATCAATATTCAGCAATTATTTGCAGGCAATCAGCGATTTACTCATCGTTCTCGATCAGCGCAAATATGAAGCTATTCAGTTGACATTCAAACAAGTTTCAAAAAACTTTCATACTGTTTTTGATAAACTTGTTCCTGGTGGTTATGGAAGCTTGGTGATGCGAGTCAGTCATGTGAGCAACCTATTATTTTCAAACGTATCAGTAGGAAAATGCTGCATTATTAATATACTTATAAGGAGCAAAAATATTTTGAAAATTGCAGGATGAGGACTCACAACCATCGCAGGATCAAAGTGACCTACATCAAATAGAAACTTTCACAGGCGTTGGGATACGAGTAAGTACTTTCCATATTTGTGTCATTTTTAAATTGGACGATATGCGAAACTTTTCAAAAATAATTTTAAGGTCTCTTTTACGGGTACATCTGAGACTCGTGAAATGCAGCAACTCTCTGGTGGTCAGAAAAGTTTGGTAGCTCTGGCTCTTATATTTGCAATCCAGAAATGTGATCCAGCACCCTTTTATCTTTTTGATGAAATTGATGCAGCGCTAGATGCGCAACACAGAAAAGCAGTAGCCGGTTCGTTTTTACATTTGTTTTGCGTTGCAAGCCTCACATTCAATAATATTTCCATGAATGTTTTCTTTTTTAGTTCCTTAGCACTTTCCAAATTTTAAGAAAATATTACGCACATATTCCTCGTATCTTCATCTGAAAGAGTTTTCACTATTATCTTCATCATTATTTGCTGTTGTAGATATGATTCATGAATTGTCGGAGAATGCACAGTTCATCACGACTACTTTCCGACCGGAATTACTAGACAGTGCAGAGAAGTATTATGGTGTTCGGTTCCGCAACAAAGTCAGTAGTTTTAGGTTTCCTTCAAATTTTCCTAACCATTTCTTGAATTTGCCAGCCTCCATGTATTACCACAATTAGCAGTTTAACAAAAGCATAAAACTTAAGGTTTGCAGTCCTGCTTTCGTTGTATAACGTGCCTTGACTAGTTCTTTTTTTTTTAAACTAGTTTTTTATAGGTTTCACACATCGATATTGTTTCGAAAGAACAAGCATTTGATTTTGTTGAGGATGACCAAACACATGGTTAGTCATCATATCAGCCGACTAAGCTAAGAAGCCGATTTTGAGGAAGGATTCATAGCATGTCGAGACTATTCTACTAAATAATTTTTTTACCATTGTAGTATATGCAAAATCTGTAAATATTCTAGTGTTTTATTTCGTTTTTAATGTTATTCCATTTCAAAATTTTTTTTTTTTTTGTCGTCCTCAGTTCGATTTTGTTTCTGCTTTCGGACGGGAAATGTCATATTTTAACTATCACTTCCGGCTTATTTTTAGATTTGACTTTGTTGAATGTTCGCCTCGGCCTCAGTGACCTCATATTATTACAATGTTTTCGTAAGATAATGTTATTCAAAATCCATTCAAAAGAGCAAGTGGTTTAAATAATACTGCTATTTCACAAAGTATAATCCTACTTTTCTTTTTTATCGTCCATGGATGATTTTTTTTGACATTTTTTCCTGCAAGGCATTATTTTATCTAATTTGATTTGCAAAATTTTTGTTTTAAAAGTCTCATGCTTAAATTCACTTCCGTACAATTCATTTTATCATTGAACATTATCCTGGCGCTGTTTCTTCTTGTTTAAACCGAAATTCAGTATTTCTAGCACCTGATTGATTTTCATTGATCTCTTTCTGTTAATTAAAATCCACTCTTCACTGTAAAATAAAGTAAATTGCAATTTTTGAAAATCTTAAAGTCAAACACCTATCGGCCCCCATGACAACAATGATTTAGGGCCATATATAAATCTGATCAGTCACATATAAATTTTTGCATGTAATCGGTCATCGATTATTCGTTGAATTTCTAAATCCTCCCCTTCCGAAAATCTGATCAGTCAGGTTTGAAAAGTGTTGAAGTAGATTTCACTGTTGGTTAACTTGAAGGACATATTGCATAAAAAGGCTTGCATTTTGAATTTTTGGATGAAGTGGGATCAAAAGTTTCTTTGAGATCGTGAGAGGTGCGGTTGAGACAAACTGCCAAATCAAAAGTTTTCATCCACTCAACATTTGCATTAACTTCTTGTAGTTCAGATCTGTGTGAGTGTATTTTGAATTTGCATGTAGCAAATTTGAATTTAAATTAGAGAACTGCTTGAGAATAACTTATTTTTCTAGCATTGTTCGGCTGTAAGCGGCATGTCCAACAATTCATTTCAAAAGAAAGTGTGGGATGAAATCTATAAGGAAAATGGTACTGAGGATATAATGCTAATCTTTTCTTGTTTGATACTGATAGTAGGGAAAAAAAAAAATAGTAGGGAAAATATGCAAAGAACAGCTTACCGAGATCATTCGGAAAATTGTAAAATTGATTGGTTTAGAAAAATTATATTACTAGAAAATTTACACGAAGTTGGATGAAATTTCTCGGTGGGGGAAATGCGGAAAATAATATTTCTAACTATTGCTAAGTATTGCTGTCAGTAAAACAAATCAGTAAAGTGGTAGAATATCTTTTTTTTTTCAAAAATTAAGTAATTAGATCCGGAAGATTTGTATATTTTCATAATACAATAAAAAAAAATTGCAGCAAGTATGTTATTGAGGTGCAAAAGATTTTATGGTTATTAAAGATGGATAAGTAAACATACAATTTATGTATGAAATTTCATTGTTTTATAATGAATTGCATTCAGTAGAAATATTGCTCAGAGATATGGATTTGATTCATGAACAAAGCGCAATAGAGTTACCAAGTAAAAAGAAAGTAAAGGTTCTGTGACATATTTTCCTAGAATGTTTAAATATCATAGTTTTTTCTCATTAATCCTGCTAATGAAAAAATGTCGGGATTATGATGTTTTTGCTTTTAAGATTTTGATTGTTCTAATTTTCAATTTCTTTAAAATCCAGTTATCAATTTTTTCATGTGTTATCCAAATGAAGAAATATATAAACATTGACAACACTTTTTCATTTAGTTGCCATCACCAAATCGAGGGACCTTAAAAATCGCAAACAATAGGTAGTGACGGAGCTTAAAAAACAGGAAAAAAGATTTTAATGGTTTTTGCTTGAAATTTAGTTTCTTTCAAATATTTAAAATTACAGTTACGGATGAAAAATTTGAGGCTGCACTCTTGGGGTGTGTTCAGTAATGTTTATCGTGGTACTTTGCTAACTCCTGGACCACGGAAAGAAATAGCACTCAAGAAAACTTGGCCAGGTATGGGCCTTGATGATACATCCCTCTTCACTATTAATGTTTTTATTCTAGAAAGTTTTGGAAACTATAAATGTAAAAGAGGAACCATACCCAAAGAACTACATCTAAATTTGGAAATGTTTAGGAAATAACTGGCCTCAATTCACTTTAGATTTGGAAAAAGACTCACAAATAAATACAGAATTGAACATGCTTCTTGGTTTGAGTTGCAGAAGACACAAAAATATTATTCAAGTGTTGTATACATTTCGAAATATTACTCCAGATAAAAAGATATTTTTTCCATTATCTTTTACATGAGAGGGATTTGACTTATTTGACCTTTTACCTATTTGCTTGAAGATACCGCTATTCAGCAAAGCCTAGAAAAATAAAAATGAAAAGTGGTACTATTCACATGATATTTTAATGTATAATCCTTTATCTGGTTTGAAATATTTTTGGGTTAGTTCAATTTCATTGCAATCATTTCTATTTTTAGATCTGTGAGACCATGATATTTGAATACCTACCTCAAACGATGTCAAACATTGTCAAACAAATTGGTGGTAAATATCCTGATTATATCGAAATTAAATTATATTCATGGCAGTTGTTCAATGGGTTAACTTATTTATCGAACGTCAGCACGTTTTTTGCCGTTATTTTTTTTCAGATTAAGATTGATTAATAAAGATCACTTTAGATCAATGCTTTTTTAAGTGCCAATCGGATTCGCAGTTTCGCTACGTGTTAATCGATCTTTATTCATTCAAAATCCTTTTCGTAAATAATTCTGATTTTTCGCTCCGAATTAAAACATCAACTATCAACAACTTATTGCTTATTAATCATGCTATTTCAATGATAGATTTCTTGATAGCACAAGTTGCATTGCAGAATCATATTTGCCATCGCGATATAAAGCCACAAAATTTGCTGATTGAACCAATCAGCGGTGTGCTGAAAATTGCTGATTTTGGTTCAGCAAAATTTATGAGGAAGATGACAAAATCAACCTCTTATCAGGTATTGATTATATACATCATAAATGCTTAAGAAGTTCTTTTCATTTAAAAGGATTTTCATCTCTAAATCGAAATTTTCTTTACTTCTTGAGAAAATCCAGGCAAATTGTTAAGGTCACACGGTATTATCGTCCACCAGAATTACTGCTTAAAGCGACTTTCTATTCACCTCAAGTTGGCAAGTTTTCTACAGTTTCTATCACTCCCTACAAGTGCAGCTTAAACTAAACTCATATCAGTATCCCGATGATAGTACTATTTAGATGTTTGGTCTGGTGGTTGCGTATTGGGGGAAATTACTAAAGGCAGCATATTATTTCCTGGTAAGGATGCGAAACATCAATTTAAATTAGTAGTGGATGCTCTCGGAAGTCCGGATGAAACCGAGCTTATGGATATGAAAGCGGCTATACCAATCGCTGGTGATCGTATTGCGCCACGTGGTCTCAGATCCATCTTGCCCTATGCATCTGAGGAAATTATCGATATCCTGCAACGAATACTTGTTTATAGTCCTAAGAAGCGCCTGTGCGGTAAAATGTTCCTGTCGGATCCATTCTTTCAAGAACTTTTCGTTCCTAATAAACGTCGAACCAATGGGACTTTTGTTTCCGATGTAATCTCATTGGATGATTTACAAAAAGTACCGTATGTTTTTTTTTCAAATTTTTAATTTCTCGGAGAAGTTGATAATCTCGGTGTTTTATTAAAACTTTTTTTCAATAATTCTGTTTTAGTACATATTTCTATCAAATTCCTTTGCATCCTGACAAGTTGAAATTTCGAAGTTATTGGAGGAAGTTACAAAATCCAATTCTGATCTAATCAGTTATAATTACAATGTGTTATTAAATCACAACGTAATACGTCATGTTGCGCATGTGCGCCTGAGTCAAACTATTTGTGTTAATTAGGAAGCAAGTTAATGTGAATGCCTCCGAAATCATTTTTTTAAAAGAAGATCAAAAAAAGAGTCTATTTAATCCAACCAAAAATTTAGAACTATTTGTAAACAAGCGAGAAAAAATAAACCATCCTAAAACAGTCGGGACTTCATTTGATCATCAATATAGAAAGAAGCAACAACGGCTTGATTATACTTTATTTTGTCTTCATTAGTTAACAGATTAAAAAAAAAATGAATTACTATCGAAGTCAATGCACTACCTTCTACTTTTAAGTGCAGTTTAAGTCCCTGAATTTGCTACTCCATTCGAACAGTATCAATGTTGGCACTTGCATATGCGTTTCAATTTTAATCAAAGGGAAGAGTCAAGTACTGTTGGAAAAAGAGTTTTGCAGCTAAATTAGCAACATAGACCCTTCGTGTTTTTTAAAAATTTTAATTCAGAAAATGCACCAACTACTAAATACAAAAAGAGAAATTTCCGGAAAATGTTTTACACAAACTGATAGGTTTAAACATCTGTCATTCATACATTTTATTGTCAAGAAAACTCACATATTTTCCAAAAGATATGACATTTACTTTTTTCATTAGTTTTTTTTTCTTTTTGAAACGCTCATGCCACCATTTACGCTTCAATTTCAACAATTACAATTCTTATAAGTTAGCATTTGGATTTGAATTAATTGTTTAGGAACAGATTTGAATGAAAATTGTATCAATTTAGTGACGAGCAAAGTATTCGATTGGGTCCGGAATCAAAAAATGAGAAATTTAATTTTCTGTCAATGCAAGAGTTATGCAGTTCTCTGATAAATGGTCATCAGGTATAAGTGTTCAAAAGATTGGATCAAAATCACAAAAAATGCAAATAAGTGAGAAAATGATTATAATTATGGGGATTTGAACAGTGATATCAAAAGCAGGAGGAAGGTGCCTTGAGGATAAATAAAGCTTGCGTATCGGAATGAATGTTGGGTCAATAAAGGACCTAAGAAGAGACCTTGGTTGTCGTGGAACAGGATGGGAGACTATATCATTATACATGTCTATTGCGGGTATGAATTGTTCCCGAGCATATTACTGGCACGAGGTGTTGCCGGATATGCGGCTGCATGAAGAAAACCAGAAGGTCATCGGCATGAAAGACCTATTTTCCTATTCCTCTTTATTGGCTACACCGAATTTGAATCTCTCTTGTCCAATCCGTTCCGTACGAAACCATCCATTTCATTCCATATGCTTTTTCAGACTACTTCTACTAATTTCCTATAATTTTATTTTGGACCGATGTTATCCTTATTGCAAAATTCCATTCAATTCGAGAACCTCTTCATTCCGTCCAAAATTTATAGCTTTGCTCGTATGCATGTGATTGCTTGGTTAGGAAGTAACTAAGACTAAAATATTAAATTTAGGATAGGTCTAGTCCGTCTCGCAATAAGGCCTATCCTCTTTCTGTGCTAGATGTTGGTCTCAAATCAAATGATAATCAAACTCTTTAATGATAAAAATTTATCCATTTGGGTACAAAAGACAATCTGAAAACGCGGATGATTCGAATAAGTGGATGCTTCTCTGATACAGTGAATTGTGCTAGCATCGCCATCATTCGATTAATTGTCCATGACCATGATAAAAGCACCCGGAGTGACTGACCACACTTGAGGGTCTTCTTACAAAAAATAATAATCGATTTTTAATGAGGTGTAGATCAGAGCTTCCAACATTTTGGTTACTTACAAACAAACCATTTTTGAAATGATACTTTTTATCATTTCCGATAATAACTCAACAGTTTTGCTTATCAAACAGTTTGATTCAACAGTGTCTCTAAAAAACTTCCAACTTCGGACAAATTCCTATAGTTTATTCGTTTTAGTATCTTTTACTTTTCCACTTACCATTATAAATTACTCAATTCTTCTCATCCTGCGCCATTTAATCTTTGAGCCCAATACTCATTTGCCATTTGACAAACTAATAATCATTGTTTCTATAATAAATATTGAAAAATGAAGATTAAAACGTAAAAAAAAAGAATGAAGTAGAAATGAAAATGTTGAAATTTTTAAATCATTTTTAAAAGAAATCAATAACCACCCTAGCTGTCTTCAAAAAATAAAAGGACAAAGGATCATTAGTAGGTATATTTAATTCTAAATATCTAATTTATTAGTAAACAAAAAGTCTTTTTATTTTTAGATGGCCTTATTCAGATGGTTATCAGACTGTACCTTTTGTTTATGCAGTGGACATTCAGCTATTTAAAAAACAACATTGAATTTTGTGCTGGCATCCATTAATAGGCTGAATTTTATTTCGTCTCTTTTCTCCTTTAATTGGATTATTGATTGGTCGGATTGGTCAAATGGATCACTGGTTAGAGAGGAATCGAAGTCTTATCATCAGAACGGTAAATTTTACGTAACAGTTTGCAGTTCCATTTTTTAAAATCAACTTGGTATTATTCTTTTCTTATAAAAAAAAAGAAAATAGATGTGAATCAAACATATTGTCAATAGAATTTAATGGAAGTTAAGAACGGACATTTGCATTTTATTGGGAAGGATTATTAACAATTATCTGAAACGTAACGATAATTGTATGCTACTTTCCCTTAACTGACAAAGTTGTGAAAAGATGACTCACTTGATTGAAATTTTTTTATGAAAAACTAACGGTTAATAAGGATCATAAAAAAGTGGTGTATTAGAATTCTCTCAACAATAATCTATGGTTTCATTATAATACCAATTTATTGTCCTTACTATTTCTAAGAGATGATTAAAATTTCTTTATAAAAATTAATTTATATTCATCCAGTGAAAAATATTTTAATAGCAAAGTCTTTGATTGAACATTGGTAGCAAATGGCGAATCAAATTAGGATACCCAAAGGTATTACAACAAATCATTAAGATTGCATTATCTTTTAACAATGATAAAAGAAGGATTCAATTCATTAGTGGGAAAATCAGAGAAGGTAAGGCAAATAGGTCAAGTCATTGGAGGATTATTAGAAACTATCTCTCCATCTTCAGAATCCATTTCTATAATGAAAAGCTTTGGATTTACTCTTTTCTATTGTTAATAAAGAAATGCAATTTTTGGTAAATGGAAATGGCTTACGAAGGAGAAAGAGGTTGGTAAAAGTTCATGAGGTTAAAGATAAAAGTATTTGAATGTCCCTACTCGTATGACTTCGGTGATGACGACGGTGCAAGCGATATTTGTAATCAGGAATCATCTTCCATTTCATTACCTACCTGTTAATCCACTAATTAGTCAATTTGATTCATGAATTCTCCTTTTTCATTGATTCATTAGTCTAAATTCATTAGTCCTACACTTCCTTTCAATTACTTGTTATCAACATCCTAACATATCGTTTTGTGATCGCCTGAATTTCCAAGTAAATTTCGATCGATATCGTCCTACCGTTAAATCATATTATCTGGAATTATCCCAACAAAAATATCGATAGAGTAATTGGAAAAAAATTTTTAGCTGCGACAATTTTTTTTCAAATTTGAGAAATTTTCTCAAATTGGCTTTTTGTTCTGGTAGGAGAATGGAGTTTGCCATAACAAGGAATATTTCGATTTTACAATAGTTCAGTGTCGTATGCAATTCCTATCGATAATTGTCTTCTTTTTCATCTCTTTTTTACATATGCCACAAATAAACTTCCCGTGTCAGCAATAATGAGTTACTTATAATTTACCTGTCCGAATTTGACAGTCCTCTTTTGCACCATACCTATATTTCTCCTCTTTTATATCATCTCTATATTCCTCCCCTTTAGTCCCTTCTGCACTATATGGTAATTGTCACGCCAAGAAAGTGATACTTTATTCTTGGAAGAGTCGTTGTTATTAACCAACAGTGCAGCTGTTATTTGGTGCCACACACATGCAAATTACCGCATGGTAGTGATTATGAACTTATGATTTAATTATCGATGGGATTCTTCCAAATGATAGAGGCTAAATTCTCGAGGATCAAAGGATAATGTGTTAGCTGATTATGATTTATAATCACAGAATTCAGTGAGGGAATTAATAGGAACAGATTTAGAGATCATGCTGGATGAGTAATCAAGTTATCTAAATGAGCAAAATGTTGAGAAATCTTGGTCTGTATAAGATAAAAGCTGAAACGGTATAGCCTTTGGCGCTCTTTCTCATTTCTGCAGACTGATTGCTACGTGTCCATTACAACGGACACCGTATAACCTGTGGTCATTTATGTCATTTATCTGAATTTTTTAACCAAAGTCAACTCGTAGAAGTGATTTAGAGGACGGCACATGCTGAGAGAGGACGGAGGGAGTACGGTTGACGTTGGACAAAACCCTCTGATGGGAGAGAGACCAGCTAACACTGGGTATTTCATCTAGAGGACATTGAAATATATTCGTAGCTACTAATTCGCAATTTCGGTTGCTTTGTTCTCAGCTGCGAATCAGCCTGGAACTGTAATTATTCATTAATTATTCATTAGTTCTAATTTCCTAATTATTTTTTCTTTTTTTCTAATTATTCATTAGTTCCAATTCCTCATCATTTTCTCACCTTTCCATTCATTACTCCTCCTCAAATATTAAATTAGTCGGGACTCTCCAGCCAACTTTATGTTACCTCCCACTTCAGATACTATTTCTTTGTTCCCCGTCCCTAAATATAAGATTCCTTTATATTTTAGCAATGTCTTTCCCATCCTTTTCTTTACTCTCTTCTATGATGGGCGCTAAAGTATTTGTG